TCTAGAAGTTTATATAATGACTAATCAAATCTTTTTGGTCACAGTAAAAGACTTTGGACAACTCAGTTACCTGCTTTTAATTGAAGCAGTATGATAACAGAAACAGTCCCTTCCTCGAGGAGTTGCTGTAATAATTGAACAGTGTAGCCTTGCCAGGTGGGTGGGTAGTGGGCAGCACTGCACCTCCAGAAGTGGTTCTGCTGTCCCCCAGACCCAGCTCCAGCCCCTGCCATCCTCTCTGTCCTGGACTGCTCGCTCCTGGCACCTCATCTATGTCAGTCACCCATTCCTGCTGAGATTGTATGTCTTGTGTGTTTTGTTTCTCTGTGTCTCCCTTTCTCTACCTCCAACAGGCTTTGTAAAAGCTACACTGTCTCTCTTCCCCATAACTTTTCATACTGGACTCTTTATATTGCTGTTCTGTGACAGATATAAATTACAGGAGCTGATATTTAGAGACCAGCTCTACTACAGAGCTACAAGCTAGGGTGTGCACAATTGCTTAACCCAATTATATGTGGGTTTAACACAGAGACACAGCTCATGGAAACATGCAAAGATCCTGTGCACGTGTTTTGAGGGAATTTCATCCTGCATGCACTTATTTAGAAACAATACAACCTCAGGGTGAGAATGGAAGCTCTTGTTCACTTTGCAGACCTGAGACACAGCAGGCACAAGATGAGACATCCTTTAACTAGTGTAAGGACAACACTTCACCCATTAATGCTGAATGTCAGTGAAATGGGGTATCTGTGGGTTATTTTCAGGCAAAATGATTTCCTGTAGATTTAAAGATATGGCAATATTCATTGTATTTTTTCCATGTCATTCAGGGCATTTTTACTAAAATCAAATTGGTTCCTATAAACATTTACTAGTAACAGCAAGACTCACTTTGTAGGAATCAGAAAATCTTCCTTTAATTAGTTTCTACATTATTGAATTCATATTAAATAGTTTGTGGAAAAAGTGTCATTTTATTATACTGTATTTTAGCCAATAAGAATAAATACATGAAGCCTGCGATGTTGGCAAAGTAATGGGCACACAGGCCAAGGGAACAGAGCAGAGAGCACGTGGACCCCAGACATGCACTTGCCGCTCTTTGACAAAGGTAACGGCAGAGACAAGACAGTCATTCCAGCAGGTGGCTCTGCGGCAGCCGGACACCCACAAATGCCGCTGAGGCTGGTCCCAGCCTCACACTCTCAGCAAAATGACCTCAAAGTGAGCCACACGTAACGCACAAGCAAATAAATAAACATACATCTTAGAAAACAGCACAGAAAATCTGAGTGATCCTGAGTCTGGCACCAACTGTAAAAGCAAAAGTTGATTGTCTGCACTTTGTTAAACTCAGTCACTTCTGCCCCGTGAAGCTGCCATTAGGGAGTAAGATGACTGAGAGAAATCATTTGCAGAAAGTACACCTGATAAAGGACTGCTATCTAAATGTATAAAAAACTCGTACAGCTTCTTGACAAGGAAATGAGCAGCTGATTAAGACTGTGCAAAAGACCTCAGCAGGCAGCAAGCTCATCTCGCTCACCAAAGGAGATGGGTGGATCACAAAGCTGCCTACAGAAAGACACTCCACATGCCTCGTCATCAGGGAAACAAACGCCTGCTAAAACGGCCAGACACCACTGCACATCTAGTGGGGGGGTCGAAGCCTGCAGACTGTCAAGGACAGTGCTGGACAGGATGTGGGGCAGGGCAACCGCTTGCTTGGGCTGCTGGGAGCACCGACAGCTCACCCGCTTGGGAGGAGACTGGTGGGCCGTACCTGCGGAAATTACTCTTCTATGGGATCCAGCAGTTACACTCTGGGGTATTCATGCAAATGAATTAAAAACTAATATCTAGATAAAAACCTGCGCACAGACGTTTATAGCAGAATTATCCATAAGGGCCCAAACCTGGAAGCAACTGAGAGGCCCCTGAGTAGGTGAAAGGGTTAGTAAACGCTTGTGTTTCCAGTCAGTGGAATATTTCTCAGCAATGAAAAGCACCAGCTATTCAGCCATAAAAATACATAGAGGAGGGGCTGGGGATTTAGCTCAGTGGTTCCGCCGCCTGCCTTGCAAGCGGAAGGATCTGAGTTTGATCCCCGGTACCCCCCCCCCCAAACAATTAAAAAACACAGAGGAAATGCAAATGCATATAACAGGGAAAGGAGCCACCTGGAAAAGGACCATCCTAAGTGGTGACGAATCCAGCAGCGGCCAAACCACAGAGAGTACAGGATGGGAGGCTGCAGGCTTGGTGGGGAGGACGGGCAATCGGTGGCGCCCAGGGGAGTTTTACCGCAGGGCCGCGACTTGCACGGTGCTGAAGAGGTGGACGGAAGTCACTGTGCACTCGGCCAAACCACAGAGGGCGCAGGGCCAAGAGTGGAGCCCAAAGCAAACCCTGCACCAAGGGCCCCTCTCCGGAGCAGGGTTCCGGGAGCGAGGAGGCCGCGCCTGTTGGGCGCAGAGGGCAGGGGTGGTGTTTGTGCCTTTTGCTCAGTTTCGCCGTCCGCCTAAAATGACTTTGAAAAATAACGTCCACCAAATAAGCAAAATGAGGTGCAAAGAAAAGTTACATTTAAACAGTTTCTCAGTCAGGATATGAATTCAAAGTGGGGGCTCCTTTTAGATTTAGTAAATATATGTTAAGCATGGCACAAAAAGAACTACAAAGCCCAAATATGAAGACCCAATTCAAAAACGGGCATCTGAAATGAACAGACATTTCTCAGACAAAGAAGTAAAAGCAGCAAATAAACATATGAATAAATGTTCAACATCACTGGTCATTCAAGAGATGCAGATGAAAACAACACTGAGATTCCACCTCACCCCAGAAAGAGTGGCTGCTATTAAGAAATCAACCAATAACAAATGCTGGCGGGGGTGTGGGGAGAAAGGAACCCTTCTCCATTGCTGGTGGGAGTGCAGACTGGTGCAACCACTGTGGAAATCAGTATGGAGATTCTTCAAAGAACTAGGGCTGGAAGTCCCATTTGACCTAGCTATTCCCCTGCTGGGGATCTTCCCAAAGAATTAAAAGAATCATACCACAGTGATATATGTGCACCCATGTTTATAGTGGTACAGTTTGTAATAGCTAAAGCTTGGAAACTGCCCAAGTGCCCATCAACTGGAGATTAGATAAAGAAGATGTGGTTTTTCTATAAAATGGAGTACTACTCAGCCATAAAGAAGAAACTAGAGACATTTATAGCTAAATGGATGCATATTGAGGCCATACTCTTAAGTGAAATAAATAGGACACACATGTGTAAATATTGAACAGTTTCTCTAGTGTGAGAAACTGAAAGTGTAAATGAGGATCAAAATGTATAATTGATATTGTGAAATAAGAAGAAAAGGTCTAAAGGAGTAAGGGAAGTTGGAGGGGTAGGGGGAAAAAAAAGAAGGGAAAGAAAAAATATGAGAAAAGGAAAAAAATGGAAACAAAGTCTTTGTAAATAGGGAAGGGTGGAGGGGGTGAAGGGAGGGCAGGGGAATGGGGAAAAATAAGAATCAGGATATATCATGTAAAGGTACAATTCCCAATGATGAATGTAACTGTATTGTATATGTAAATGGACCAATAAACTTAATGAAAAAAAAAAAGCTAAGTCAGCCAGAAGCCTGGTTTCCACCCAAGACCGGGTAGTTTAGAGTCACTGAGTGTCAGTTCTGGGCTTTGGGTTGTTTCTAAAGCTCTCTGGAGGATTTTCATGCATACTGGTATAATGAAAAGGGTACAGGACAGAAAACCGGGGACAACAGAATTGGATGTCTGTAGCTTCCCCTCGTTTGGGAGGCCATCGGCACCACAGTACTTCGGGTTTCTGAGGCTTATGGATCAGCTCCTCGGCTCAGGGCTCAGGGACACTAAACCCTGCAGGCCGGGTTCCACAGTGGTCTACGTGCACCATGCATGACGCCATCTGCCAGGGCAAAGCCTAGCTCTCAGAGGGTAATGTTTTAAAGACTAAAAGAAAAATAAACCAAAGCAATGTATCTCATTAGCATAGCTTCTCATTGTGTTACTTAATTGCTACAGAATGGTACCTTGCTTAATAAAAGTAGCCAAAAACATTAATGCTTTTTAAATATTGCCTAATGACTCTCAGAAAATGTAATACAATGATAAAAGAGGGAAACATAAAAACTGGGGGGAAACCAACTCTTTTCCATAAATATTTATAAGTTCATATACAAAGAGTTTAAAACTTTTAACATGACCAAAGTGTACAAATAAAGACAAATAAACTAATTTTATAATGAACGACCATATGGATCTTTGTTGCAAATATTAGAGCAACAGTCTCATTGTATTAGATAGTTTTCAGTTTGGGGAATTAGGAAGGACAGATTATTTCCAATGTAAGCCTTTTTTTAAACATAGCTTGAGAAGCTTGCTGTGGCTATTTTGTGCGTGCATGCGTGTGTGTGAGAGTGTGTGTGTGTGTGTGTGTTTTCTCTGTTTGGTCTGTGATACACTTTACTCTTTTCCAAGACTAAAGCTTTACAGCAGACCAGACTTTGGGCCCTTGTAAGAACATTACTCTGCACTGTAAATAGCCTCCTGAAAACCTAACCTCACTGCACAATCACGTTTATACTTTACTTTCTGAGCATCCTCAAGTTCTGCAGAGTAGGGGATGAGAGACGTTGACATGTCAGGGGAGGCCCTTGGTGACCTCGTGTCTCAGCATCCGCAGATGGCATCCCTGCACTGTGAATGTGGACACAGAATTGGACACGCAGGGTAGAGTACCGCACAGGACCAGCAGGGGTCATCTGGCTAACTCTGAGCACACAGCTCGTTTTTGGGAGCTGGAGTGCTCTGCATGGGATGAATTGGCTCTCTTTTCACCATGACAAGAGAGACTGTATCCTCGTGGCATGCAGGGGACCACTGTTGGACCCCAAAGCCCTCGCCGTGCGCTCAGTTCCCAACTACATCTACAAAGATGGGAAAATTTTCACAGCACTTACGTTTACAAGCAGGAGGCCTCCCTCTGTTGCTCCACAAGCCGTCTTCCTGACACACTGCACTTGCTTGGTGACTGGCTTCTAGCTTGAAGCCCTCGTTACATTCGTATATGACTTTCCTGTCCAGCGTGAACTCATTGCCTGTGAATGAGCCATTTCCCGGGGGCTCGGGGATGCCACAGGACACAGCTGAAAAGAAACGAGAAGGTACAGGCTGATTCTTGTAGGAGTTTGTTAATTTTGTTTCTCTTCTCATCTCATAAAGTTACAAAAATTCTGAATTATATTTCTAGGGTAAGGCATTAAGTGTACACATTTTCAAAATGCTCTGAGTTACAGAGAGGCCATGGAAAGTGGTTAGAATAATGAAAATTGGGTCAGAATAAAATATCTGCAGTGATTCTGGAAGCCAAAGCTGGCGACACTCTTGTGGCTCAACCTCACTGCGACGTCTTGCCAGACGCTGTGTTGAGGGAGCCCAGCAGCGTGGCGGCCACATTTGACACTGGAAAGGAGGAGAAGGGACACGATGTGGGCTTCGTGGCACTGAGCGCCATAGGAATCGGCACGGAAGGGGCGCTGAGCCTCTCGGGTCTCAGAATCCATTCCTCTGTCCTTTGCTCCTCACCTTCCCTGATTCATTGGCTTTAAAGCACCAGGGAGTGAATTATCCTAAAATGTTGTCTGGGTTGGATGAGATTTGTCCCCAAGGGCTTATGGGTTGGGAAAACAGACCCCAGGGTGGTGGTGATATGAGGTTCAGAGCCCTCTGAGTGGTGAGGCCAGTGGGAGGTCACCAAGGGCCTGAACGGGAAGAGGGGGGCAGTTCTCGTGGAACTATGGTCAGTTCTTGAAAGATCACTGAAAGAGGTAATGGGCCTCCATGTTCCCTGGCTTCCTGTCTCCATGTGATCACTTCCTGTCAAATATACTCCCAACATGGCACCATCTGTGAGGAGTGACACAGCCAGGAGGTCCTCACCACACCCATACTGTGCAGTTGGGACTTCTGGCTCCCAAACTGTGAGCTAAATTAAGCTCTTTTCTTACCAAAGTTAACCTGCCTCAGCCATGCCCTTATAAAATCAGGAAATGGACTGATATAGAAGGCAAAAAATATGCTTCAGATCATCAGTGCCTTTATTACCATCAAGTCTAACATTTTATAAGTCATCTGTCATAAAATAAGTTACAGGAGGCAGTCAGGATAAAGATCTTGATCAGAAGGCACAGCCCTACCAGACATGCAGATCTGCTTTTTCTAGAAGACGGCACAGGAAAGGCAAAGAATCAAGAGGAAGGTTTATAAAAAACAAGTGAAATGTGGGGAGAATTCATTAAAAACAGTCTTGAATTTGCTAACTCTAATACACACATATTTACTAGGAGACTGGAGAGACGGGGGAGAGAGAGAGAGAGGGAGAGAGAGAGGGGCCTTAAGTGACTTCACTTTGGTGTGAAACAGCAGGGAGGCAGGGCAGAGGGCGGCACTCTCAGGGGTGGCATCCCAACACCAGGGCGCTTGATCCAGAAAGGCGGTGAAATTAATAAATTAAGGGCCTCTCCTTAATATTCAAAATTAAAGATACATTGCTCAGACCACACTTCAGTTGAATAATCTGAAAATCTCCCCGTGCAGATTCCAAGGAGAATATATGTCCAGAATGTTAGAACTAGAGGAAATGCAGCGCAGGATTTATGTAAACCCATCGTTTTACAGTAGGAGAAGCCAGAGTCAGAGCCTGCCGCGTCCGCCGCCTTCACACAGCCAGCAGTGACAGCGGCTGGGCCCCAACCAGGCTGCTTTCTGCTCGGCCTGGCCTCAGGTATCTGGGAGGTGAAGACCTCCCTGTTCCATTCTGTTCTTTTCTCTTTGTTAAAATAGCAAGTAAATACAATGGCAAAATTTACTTCAAAGAAGCAAAAAGAATACAGTGCCAATAAAAATCAAATTTCTAGAAAATCCAAAGTCTAAAATTTCTTTTGTATGTATGAGGAGATATTTCAACGACCTGAAATGTGCATGTGCACATGCATGCATGGGTGTGAGTGTGCATGCACAGTGTGTGGAATACCATGTTAAACCATCTGCAGGACGCGGGAGCAAAGCGCAAGTGTCTGCACATCATTTGGGGCAAAGTCTTTGAAATATAGAGTCAGTTTTCTGCAACCTGGTTTTGTCCAGGAGATATATCAATGGAAAGGCTGCTGGGCATTTGAAAATGTTGGTCATAATGGCACACGTCATGGAATTTGGATCCTGTTTGTATTTTACAGTGTTCCATCAAGATCCCTTCCCAAGTTCTCTTGGATTCCTCTGGATAATCACTTCATCAGCCCCACAGGCTGTAACTTCTTTTCCAGTGCCCAGCTTCCTTGCAGTTCTTGTTTGAGATGCACGCAGGATGAAATGACATTGCTCCTGCAGGTTAAATGGGAAAGATGCTGCTCTATGGACATGTACAAAGCCTTCCTTGAAGAGACTTCTACGCAGGAGGCCAAAGCAGAAATGCTTTCTTCTGCTAAATCTGGAAGCTTTCAAATAAAAGTGAACTCTGGCTCTGAGGACCCTAGAGGACCTGCTCTATGACAGTTGGCAGCCACTGGGCCTCTCCCTGTGGCTCTGAGCTACTGCTTCCGGATCCAGAGTCTGCACAGAGACACAGGGCGGGGTGCCTGTAGTGACTGTCAGTCCACGGAAATGGTGTCATAGCACACTGACTCAGCGAAGAAAGCATACCATAATTAATTCAGGAATCTGGACCTCATTCCTCTGCTCCCATGGCGGAGGAGCAGGACAAGCTCAGGTGTGGGCACTGCAAAGAGGGGGACATGGCAAGACAGGGACACAGAGCTCAGAAAGGGACCGGCAGGAGGGCAACACAGTCCTGGGTACCTTCCGGCCCGGCGGGAAACAAAAAGCCAAGTCACATAAATTAGTCTTTGGGTTTCCGAGGCTTTTTAAGTATACACAGTGTACGTATGTAAGAATTGTTGATCAGGTAAAATATATGCATACATGTGCGATTTTTAACATATTATATGCATAGGGACATTATAACCTGAGGACATTCTGGATTACTATCTTTAACCCCGACCTCCTCTGGGGTATCGGGGCCTGCATCTGCTTCTGTGTGTGCCCTTCCACTGGGTCTGGGTGATAAAGCTAACACTGCATTTTCATATCATGTTTTTTCCTTAGTTTACTTTCTTACAGATAAAAATGTTTTGTGTCATTATTTCAAGTCTCACTTCAGTACCTCCACGATTGAGGTCTCCTCCCGAGTCTGCCAAATTTGGGTAGAATCGTGACCACATTGCAATAGATGCCTGGATTATGAAGATTGAGCATTTCCAATTTCATACCTGCCAGATTAGTACTCACTGTAAAAATGCATCGGAGTTCCTATCTTCTCTAACAGAGAAAGTGAACCAAGGCCTTGTTTGCTTCTCCTGCTCCCAGACCCTCTCCTCCGGCACACAGGGACTGGAGGGCCCAACGTCCTCTGTTCACTGCCTACCTGCCCAGCTCCTTCCTTAAAGTTCCTGGGAAGCTCACCCTCACACAGCCCGTGTGCCCCACTCTCAGTGGAGTGCTTGAGCTGCCGGGTCACGGTATTTTCAATTTGGAAAGCATTGTTTACATAAAAGCTGCTCGCAGAGATATGCACAAATGCACTTTCTGCAGTTGACTCTATTACGTTAATTGTCTCATGCACAGTCTCCTGAAAACCACCAGTCATTTCTGAAACCAGTACCAACACCACTGCATCAGATTCCTCCTGAGAAGGCTGAGGCCAGAGTATTGCTAACAGCCCCTCTTCTGTGTGGGCGGCTCTTCAGCACACATGGATAGTTTGGGCAAATTACAAGGTTCATTATCAACTTTCTTGATACATGAAAAATCACTACTTCCTCTTCTATCGAAATCTTCTTTTGGTGCTAATTGCTGTCAGATGGACCAACTGAAAAATAAAGGTGTAAGATAAAAAGTCAAAGCTATAGTTGTAGATTTGCCATCTGATTTGTCAGAATCCTCAGTGAGAACATTTGTCCCCGCACTTCAGAGCTTCTGTGTGCACGTGGACTGCGAGAGCTGCTGGTGACCTGCTCCGGCTTCTCTGACTGACCCGGCCTGTCCCGGAGACTCCGGGGAGCCTTCGTGGACGGTGCTGACACTGCAGTGGGTCGGCCTCCCGGACGTGTCCTTCCCCAGCCCCGCTTCCATCTTCTCTGAGTCACAGGTGGGGACAGTGTGCGCAGCCCTGGGCCATCTGAACTCGCCCACCACCGAGCTCCCTCTGGCGAGGCCTGTAGGTGGAGGCGGCGCTGTCCATGGTTTCCTGCTCAGCCAACCCCGAGCTGTGGGAATTCTGTCCCTGCAGGGAGCCTGCAGAGAGGACAGCATGGCAGAGTTGCCAGTGCCGAATGCAAGGCTGCCAAGCCCAGCGATGCTGACTTTAACACAGGGACAAAGAACCACTTATTAAGCACTGAAGATAAAGGGAATCTCGGAAGCGACGTGGGAAGCAAGAGCAGCAGACGTAGAGAAAGCCAGCCGTGGCCAGCGGGAGCAGGAGGCTCCGCCCTCCGCCCTCCGCCCTCCGCCCTCCGCCCTCCGCCCTCTGCAGGCCGCCTCGCCCCGCTGCCTCGCCATTGTCAGCACTGTTCAAGCCACGCGGTCCGGACAGTTCCGTGACAGCAGCCAACAGGTGAGGACGCGGCTTCCAGACCCAGTTCAGCCCTGCGGCTGTGCCTGGGACCTGCATGACCTAAGGCTTTCCCCTGACCTCTCTGATGCCTGTTTCCTCATCTGTAAACCGAAGGGCAAATGTGAGAGGTTTTAGAAGAAAATGAACACCTACAAAGTGCTTTTAGATTTATTAACAAAATGAAGCTGGCCGCAGCAGTAGTTGGAGCGCTTCCTAGCTGCCGTCATGGTTTCATTCATCCACCCTGTCTGTCCGTCCATCTGGTAGCCCTGTGGACCACAGGCAGTGAGGTAAGCATCGCACATTGAGACTTAGCACTTGATATTTTGTTCCTATTTTGTTCTGCTTTTTTTCTCCCTGTTTTCCCTTCCCGAGCTGTCTGTGGGCCATTTGAACTTTTTAAAAATTCCATTTTGGTTTAACTAAATTTTTTTTTTTCATTTTAGTGTATCTATTCGTCTAACTTTCAAAACCGTT